TTTTTGTAGGAGGATATTTTGATGCAATTTGTACAAAGTGGCTGCAGGATTTAGACACAGATAGGAATTGTATGAAAGCACTGTTTGATATTGTACAAGAATATTTCTATAAAGTAGCAGTATCTCTGGCTTCTTATGCTTCGGGTAAACTATTTCAGCATGTTGGATAATGAAACAAGCTCAATATACAACAAATGAATTTCAAAATAAATTCTCAGCACCTTAATATTGAGTCAGAAAAGCAGAAACCTATTTCTCAAGGCAAGAAAAGCTTTCTGGGATTGGAAAACAGATTTTGGCAAAACAATAATTTCTAAATTATTGTGAGCAAGATTAACAAAGTGAGTTATCTAATAGTTAAGTATTAAATGATGTCCAAGTACCATCATCCCACAAATTTGTTGGATGAGTTCTCTTGAATTGATTTAATTGGAAACCTGGAACCCCACCTTGAAAAAGATGAGAAAATGTATTCTTGTCTATCTTTACACATTGTATTTCTGTGTTCTTTCTTTTGCTGAGTATAAGGTCATTATATGTCTGTGACCCCTAGATGACAGCAAAGAGTAACAGTAGTCATCCAAATTTTGGCAGCTCACAGATGGTACCTCTATTTGTGGAGGGATTTGTGGAGGGATGGGGTTGCCTTGAATACTGCCATTTTTCATTTGGGTAAAGATATTATTTTCAGCTTTGGGGTGGAAAGTTACTGATATGTGAATTTACTTGCCAAATCTTTTATTTGATCAATTCCTGTTTTATTTGTTTCCCCTCCCCCTGAAATAAAAGTATATTTATATTGAGATTGAAGGTGGATGTGAACAGATGCATTTCATCTGGTTTCCAGTTAAATAATCTAGAGGAAGTAGGGAATTAGTAAAGTCATTTAAAGGAGAAGAGTGAAAAAGAATATGGGAAACATATAGCAATAGCAGTTAGACTTACATACCACTTCATAGTGCTTTACAGCCCTCTCTAGTAGGTTTAGAGAGTCAGCATATTGTCCCCAAAAATCTGAGTCTTCATTTTATTGACCTGGCAGTGGTAAATGATTTAGACTTAGACTAACTTTATTGCTACTTTAAATGTACATTAATACATTTAAACTGGACTACTGTAATGCTCTCTACATGGGGCTCCCCTCAAAGAGACTCGGAGGCTCCAACTGGTCCAGAATGCGGCCGCGCGGGTGGTTATGGGCGCGACTTGTTGCGCCCATGTGACACCTCTCCTGCGTGAGCTGCACTGGCTCCCAGTGGTCTTCCGGGTGCGATTCAAGGTGTTGGTTACCACCTTTAAAGCCCTCCATGGCTTAGGGCCCGGGTACTTGCAAGACCGACTTCTGCCACCAATAGCCTCCCACCGGCCAGTCCGGTCACACAGAGAGGGACACCTCAGGATGCCGTCGGCCAAGCAATGTCGGCTGGCGACACCCAGGGGGAGGGCCTTCTCTGTGGGAGCTCCTGCCCTTTGGAACAAACTGCCCCCAGAAATACACAAGATCTCCGACCTCCGTGTGTTTCGCTGTGCCCTTAAGACCCTACTGTTTTGCCAGGCAGGTCTAACTATGTAATTATTTTAAATTGGGAGTTTTAAATTGGGGGTTTTAATCTGGGCCGAAATTGTGTAATATTTTTAATAATTTTAAATTTTGATATTTGTATATTTTTTGTTTTAATAGGCTGTACACCACCCCGAGTCCTTCGGAAGAGGGGTGGTATAGAAATAAAATTATTATTATTATTATTATTATTATTATTATTATTATTATTATTATTCAGCATACATTAAAATGAAAGTTTGTTGCATACAGCTCTCAAAGGGTCACCAGCTCCAATATACACTACATAAACATGACTAAATAAATAAATGAATACAAACAAAATTAGGCATATATCCACATACCTACATATATTATATGTCACAGAGTAACAACACAGTCTAGTCTGGATGTATACATGTACATGGCAAGAAAAATGAATCTTGTGAGTTTACCAAACGGATGGCATAGGGGACAAATGTGTTACAGAATATGGGAGTCCTGCTAGAAATACTTCGAAACGTCCTCCCAAAGTGGAGCAACAGAAACAGACCGTAAAGTGTGTGTGAGTGGTCTCTAACAATGCTTTGAGCTCTAAGCACATAGGGCTTATAAGCAGTATCCTGAATAACAGGAAGCGAGCTTCCTATAATCTTCTCGGCTGTCCTTACCACTCTCAGATAGAAGATCTATGGATCTTCTATCTGAGGCACTGCTGCTGCAGTTTGTTAAAATGTTCTCAATTGTGCCTGTGTAAAAAGTGGCCAGGACAGAAGGAGAAAGATGTGCTTTTCTCATCCAACACAGGAAATGCAGATGCTGGTTTGCATGCTTCACTAAGGATGACGTGTGACCAATTCAGATTGTTAGTTATTAGGACCCCCAGATACTTAATACTGTTGACCACCTCTACAGCTGCATCCTTGATACTGAGTGGAGTACAACTATGCCGGCTCTTTCTAAAATCTACAATGATCTCCTTTGTTTTATTAACATTTAGAACCAGGTTACTTTTATTGCATCAGTCCACCCAGAGACTTCCCCTCTTTCCTATAAGTATCTTCATTGTTGTCCTGGATAAGACCAACCAGTGCCGTGTCATCTGCATACTTCACAATATGATTCATAGCAGATTTGGCACAGCAGTCGTGGGTCATCAAGGTGAACGGTAGTGGACTCAAGACACAGCCCTGTGGGAAACCTGTACTCAAGGACAATTAAAAATGGTTTAATTGTAAGTGATCATTTTATTCTTCTTCTCCTGTGTATATAGTACCTGCTTTGTTTGATAACAGAATAACAGAATAATAGATGGAAAGGCCCTTGGAGGTCTTCTAGTCCAACCCCTGCTCGAACAGGAGACCCTATACCGTTCCAGACATGTGGCTGTTGTGTCTCTTCTTAAAAGCCTCCAGTGATGGAGCACCCCAACTTCTGAAGGTAATTGGCTAATTGTTCCACTGGCTAATTGTTCTCACTGTTAGGAAATTTCTCCTTAGTTCTAGGTTGCGTCCCTCTTTGATTAGTTTCCATCCAATGTTTCTTGTCTTGCTTTTGGTACTTTGGAAAATAGGTTTTTGGTTTCTGTTTATACTAAGATTTCAGTGCAGTTGTGAAACCCAGGTTCTGATATTCTAGAATCCAGAAATGATGTAAATCTTTAGCACGGATCTTTAGAAACTCTGTTGAGTACAGGGAGGTGGCACTCCTGAGCTAGGAGACCTGGAAGTTAGTGTTCCTTGTGTTGGAAGATTGGTGGTGGGGCTGCATTCCTCTTTACACATAATTTCTGGACATATATAATAATGACTGTTTTGCAAATTGAAAGCTTTATTTTCATTTACCTGCTAATAGTTTTAGGGATATAACTGAAAATGCTATATTCTAATTTAATTCCAAGTGGAAATACATCATAAACAGAAATATGTTTTATACAACAGGTGCAGTGTTTATGACAGAGAAAGGGGCTTCAGGCAAGTCTTTTCTCTAATAGTTATCCCATGGTTTGTCTGTCTTCTATGGGCATGTGTGTATAAACACACATCACTATATAGACACATGCACATAGAGACACATCCCTCCCTGTTTTGGGAATAAATTGAGGGTATAAATTTGGAATAAATTGGGAGGGGGGAAAGAATGGGGACAACCTTTACTGAGGTTAGAGCATCTAATTAGGATTGTCAGTATGGTTGTAGTTCCCTTAGGAATTGCTTTTCACATTTGTTACACTGATTTTTTAGTAGCTCTATATAAAGTAACTGATCCAGCTGTCCATTCTTGTTGGATTTCCCTTATCCAACAGAGCAAAGCTAGAGTTATCTCTACAATACAAGTTGTTGCAAAGAGTACTGTTCTATTCTTTCAATCTGTTTTTATGACCTCCTCCTCCTCCTCCTCCTCCTCATGCAATAGGAAAGGAATTGAAAGGTGCTAAACTCTCTGTTCTAGAATTTCTTTGGCTAACATTGCAACATTGGTGAGCATATTTCATTGCAGAGGCTATCAGCAACATCTGCAGGACATTGTTGGTTTTGTTTTCCATCTCTCCATTAGTTTGCTGCCTCCCTGGCTGCCACACTTCCTGTTCTGAAAAAGCTCCATGAGAAAACTTCCTTCATGATGTCTTTTTTTTTGGGGGGGGGGAGGGAGGGACTTTATTGAAGCACAGGAAGTCAGAGCAGATCTTTTAGAGAAACAGGACACATATTTAATTTATATGAACTATACATCCTATAGGCACTGCACAGAATTACCTTTGCGGAGAATTCCTCCTCCCCCTGCCATCAGATTCCATGGAATACTTGAAAATTGCAGAAGTGATTTTCTTCACCATTATAATTACTATTACTCCCAGAATTCTCCAGCAAGCATAGCTGGCTGGAGAATTCTGGGAGTTGAAGTCCACAAGTCTTAAAGCTGCCAAGTTTGAAGACCTCTGCTGTAAAATCTCCATTCCCTCCCCACTGCAGGGGAAGGTTACTGCAAAATTCCCATTTCCTCCCAATCAGCTGGGACTTGGGAGGCAGAGAATAGATGGGGGTGGAGCCATTCAGAGGTGATATTTACCGGTTCTCCGAACTACTCAAAATTTCTGCTACCGGTTCTCCAGAACTGGTCAGAACCTGCTGAAACTCACCTCTGGTGTCATGATTTAAATATGAATGTAAATATAAATCTAAACATATGTAGCATCAGATTGCAAAGTAGTCAATGTGAGTGGCACAGTAACCATTGCCCAAAATAAACATTCTTACTAAACTTCAATATGAAATGTTGTAAGGGACAATAGGTGTGTGTGTGTGGGGTATCATTTAAGGGAGACGGGTGTAGTGGCCTAGGAATGTGAGTCCTAGGCCCACCTTAGACAGAAAAACAAACTGATGACCTTGGGCCCTTGGTTCTAGGAAGGAGGCAATGGCAAGCCACTTCTGAAAAATCTTGCCAAGAAAACGTCTTCAAAAGAAAAAACAAGAAAGTTCAGTTGCCTCCTGAAAAAGCACCTTTGGGACAACCATGACCTGGATGACTGACAATCTCTACAGACTTCTTGCCAAGAAAACTGCAGGTGTATTTCAAACTAGTGCAACACTAACTTGAAGGCACAAATACCTCTCATATATACATATGTGTGTATACACACACAGAGATATATACACAAAGAGAGAAATTCTAAACTCTATTACCATTTAACTAGTTAACAAGCTGACCATAATTGCTCTGTTGATCATTAATTTTTAGGTTTTTTTAAAAAAGAAATTAAGCTTTTAAAGCTTTCTAAATAAAGGCACAAATTAGTGGAGCACTGAGCACTTATCCTAATGCATGTATTGTATAGTATTTTTAGGAATATAAATCTTGTGATTCTGACATACAAGTGAAAATGTTGGAAGAATGGTAATGAAATTAATCTTGACAAATTACCATTGATATGAAAGATATAGCTGATTTTGTTTATGGATTTGGAGTTCTCCTTGCTGACATGGGCAAACAGCATCCATAGTGATATTAGAATATATTTATTTAATGAATGCTATCCTGCCAAATAGTGGTGGCTCTTGAAAAGCAATTTTAAATAATTTATTGAGCGTATATAAACATGTTTTTTCTAGAAAGTCAGGAATATTCATATGGAAATCCCCCTTTGTTTTGTTTTAATAACTATTCTCAGTTTGGGCTGAGATGATAATTAACTACATGGTGAATCTAGGCTCTCTCTACCCAGTCCCAAGTCATATAAATACTACTACTTACAATGAAGTTCATTATTCTTGCTTTACACAAATGTCATATCTGGTAAACGCAACACTATTCCTTTAACTTTCCTTTATAATAGCATAAAAATATGCAACAAAAGGGTAGGCTTTTTCTATTTTTTTTCTGTTTTACCAATTTCTTTCCTTTGCTTACTGTATATTTGCAAGACAATACTTGATTTTAAAAAAACCTCCGGGGGATTAACTATGATTAAGTACAAAAAAAATTCAGTCAAAACCAGCAATGAAATCGATAAGCAGTAAAACAATAGCACTGTGCATAAATAATATTGCAAATAGCTAGTAACTAGTAGCAGAATCCAATAAAATATTTTTAAAAGGCAGTCTCCTAATTCAGCAAATGTTATTTATTGGAAGATATCCCATGCTAAACATTTCTAAGGCACTAATAACAATATTTGAAGAATTAGATCTTGTCTTAATTTGCAAAATTCTGTACTGTAGTTTTGTCACCAAGTATTCCAGATTGTCAGACATAAAATTACAACAGTAATATTTTAAATAATAAAATGCACAAAAACCAAATGATCAGTTCAATTTATATTAAAATAAAATCTATAGCTTTGATAAGACCTTCATAATTCAGAAGACATTTAAAATACATGGGAAATTTATCACCCAAACCAATGTACTCTCTTCGATTTCCACCAAAAAGAGAGAGATTCAACATTACTCAGTAACTACTCAATTCTAGTAATTTTGTTGTGTTTTTCAGGAGAAACCAAAATACCTACTCATTCATTTTCGCTGCCACCATAGATGCTGCTGAATTGTTTTTAATATCTTTCATGAATCTGCAAAATTCAGTCTTTTTCTTCCCACTTTTTCTGACTTGATGAGTTAACCTATGTGGTAGCCACTTCACTGTTTGGTTGGAGCCAACTGATAAATTAATTCCTCTCTCTGCATTAAAATTATTGGAGAGGCTGGAAAAGACCTCCCTGCAAAAACTCTACAATTTTGTGGAGGCATTTTTAAATTTATTTGCATCCCAAATCATTTAGGACTTTAAAAATGGTCATAAGAACATTGAATTGGATTCAGTTGTGAATACACAACCAATGAATTGTTTGTAAAACTGATGTAACTTCATCTAGGTAAACTACTATAGCTAGCATAATAACTGAATTCTGAAACCACTGAAATTTTAGACAATTTTGAAGGCCAGTCAGTATATGACAGATTATAGTAATTCACCCTAGAGAACAGAAGAATATGAAGTCACGATGGTCAAAGTAGTAGCTGGCAGAAAGGGAAAGTGCTTGAAGCAATAAAGTTAGCTGAGTCTGTACCAAACAATGGTGGATCAAGAAATTCTCCTGAATTAGACACTTGCTATTCCAAAGAATAAAAGGGATGCAGTGGTTCAGTGGCTAAGATGCTGAGCTTTGTTGATTAGAAAGGTCAGCAGTTTGGTGGTTTGAATCCCTAGTGCCGCGTAACGGGGTGAGCTCCCGTTTCTTATCCCAACCTAGCAGTTCGAAAGCACGTAAAAAATGCAAGTAAAAAAATAGGGACCAGCTTTGGTGGGAAGGTAACAACATTCCGTGCGCCTTTGGCGTTTAGTCATGCCGGCCACATGATCATGGAGATGTCTTCGGACAGTGCTGGCTCTTCGGCTTTGTAACGGAGATGAGAACCGCCCCCTAGAGTTGGGAACGACTAGCACATATGTGCGAGGGGAACCTTTACCTTTATTCCAAAGAAACTCAAATGGATTAAACACCAACTTTGCAGATTTGAAAAGGAAATACTGACTTGAGATAGTGAAAAGGGCTCTACCTTTAAAGTTTGAGAACTCAAGCATTTTAATATCAAAAAAGTTAAAGTTTCAATGATGACAGAGAAGATTTGGCTACTGTCCCAATCAGATTAAGCAACCCATGAGACTGCTGCAAATGTGACCTCTTGCTTGCCTGTAACATTTACTGAAAGGCCATTATGGGATGGTGCATTGATCAGCCCACCTGTGGTGAGCTGTCAAGTTCTCCGATGTTCTCCATCGCTTGCATTCGAAAGACATGTTTTCTCCTTTTATTTAAATTGCACCTTCCCCCAGCAACGGGATCAGGATATCTGGTTATTTATTCTGAAGAAGAGTTTTGTTTTCTTTGGCATAGCCAAAAGAACCACAACGGAACTGCCAAACTTTATGCTGACCTTGTTTTATTTGGACAGTTTGTGCAAATGGATGTTTCCAAGAACTTATCAACAAGCATGTGCAGCACTATTCATCCAGATATATTAAAACCTGGGATAGGGAGGGAAAGGTAGAAAAATGGTTTTGGAGTTTATGTTGCTAGCAGGGAAATAACTCCAGAGGCATGGATGTATGTACTGTACTTGCATCCTATGTCACTCATAATCCTCAAGAGGTTAGAATGTTTCTCCTCGCTCTTGTTTTGATTTGTTAATATAGTTCAAACATCTCCCAGTGAGATACTTCAGTTGCAGGGATTGCAATATTTTCTGAACACTAAAAGCAAACTGTTTCTAAAGGTACAAGATGTAATGCATCTCACAGGCTGTGTGTAAACTATAGCCGTGCTTGCCATCTGGAATGTGAATTGTTATAGTAAAAGTGTCCCCGCAGTGTCTTTTGTCCACAGCTGCTTCCCCCCCAACAAATATTCACCTTGCCCACTATGCTCTAGTTATGGCAAAGAAAAGAATGCTTCTTAAAAATAAAAACAGGGAGCTGCACGCTTTGCAATTAACATGGTATACAAGACCATGAAGAGACACTGTTTATCAACATAGATGTAATTCTAGAAAACAACTTTGGATTTAGCTCGGGAAAAGAGACCGGAATGTATGAGAGACTGTGATTCATTAAAGCAAGTACTTCCAGCAGCCAGGTGGTCTTAGGGAAAGATGTGGCTATTTTAATGAAATATAGACAGGTGCTCTTCCAAACTGAATCCGAAGCATTGTACAGTCATAATAAATACAGGTAGCCCTTGACTTACGACCACAATTGAGCCCAAATTTTCTGTTGCTAAGGGAGACATTTCTTGAGTTTTGTCCCATCTTATGACCTTTCTTTCCAAGTTGTGAAGTGAATCACTGCAAGTGTTTAGTCTCACAATTGTTAAGTGAATCTGGTTTCCCCGTTGACTTTGATTGTCAGAAGGTTGCAAAAGGGGCTCACATGGCCCAGTGACACTGCAACAGTAGTAAATATGAGTTAGTTACTAATAATCTGAATTTTGATCACATGACCATGGGAATGCTGCAATGGTTGTAAGTGTGAAAAATGGTCATAAGTCACTTTTTCAGTGTAACTTTGAATAGTTATTAAATGAATTGTTGTAAGTTGAGTACCTGTAGTATCTTTCAGCTTCCAAAAGGTTTTCCATCTTGCATTCTCAAGCATATAAATGGTTTTTTAGTTGCATTTTGGGAATGATTTTGAATTTATTGTATTTGTATGAGATAAGAGAGGGTGTAGAAGCTGTTTCCTGTTAAACATCTTTCAGTTACTCATCATCCTGCCTGCCTATGCCTTTTGACCTGAAAAGGTCCACAAAATTGCTTGAACTGAAGCATGGGAAGCTGATGGGGCCAAAAAGATGATTGAAAAACAGGATATTAACACGCAGTTGATCATTTCGCCAGACTAGGTATGGGACTTACCTGCAACAACTTTTTTTAAATCCATAAATTGAAATGAGAATGGAAGAAAGTTTTGATGCAGAAGTAGCATAGGCAATGCTAGCTTAAGTAGATCTGATCCAAGCAACTTCCAAGGTTCATAATTTGCCATGGAAGTTCTGAAGGGGTTGAAGGAGATCTTGCCTCTGAGCATCTTTTTTTGTAATATATTCTCAGTTGCTGAAAAAAAAAAAGGTTTATGGTTTGTGTATCATGTTCACCAAGAAAAAACAGCCAATTCAAACTTGAACCTTGTTTGGTTTGTCATTTCCATTCTGGGGGCGGGGGAGCTGCTAAATCATAAAGGGAAGTGATATAATACACAGATATCACATGAAGAATAAGGAAGGGATGAGACTGTAAAGCAGATCAAAAAGTTTCCAGCCTTCCAAATATCTGATTTTATCTACACCAGCATAAATCAAGAATAATTCAATTAATACAGATGATATTCTTCCAAAGAAAACTGAGGGACAATATACTGTAAGAGACGATGCTACAGAGAAGGGTCTGTATCTCAAAGAAAAATGGGACTGTCCCATCCTCTGATCAAATGCCAGTTATACAAATAGGAAAAAAACACAGAAGGATAAAAAGGATGTTGAATATTTATTTATTTATTTGATTTATTTATTTAGTCAAGCATGTATTAGATAACAAATATAAGTACAAACATGATTATGAATACATGAAATGGATACGAATAAAAAAAAACATTAGGACAGGGACGGTAGGCACGCTGGTGCACTTATGCATGCCCCTTACAGACCTCTAGGAATGGGGTGAGGTCGACAGTGGACAGTCTAAGGTTAAAGTTTTGGGGGTTTGGGAAGAAACCACAGAGTCATCCAGGCATTGTCCGTATGAAGGCTCTCGGCCGTAGCTATGTGTGGTGGCCGTTAATTGATAGAGAGATAGAGGATTGGGTAGCGAAGTGTCAGCATTGCCAGTTAACAAGACCGGTCGCACCTGCGGCTCCTGTAAGGGATTGGGAAAAACCTAAAACTCCGTGGGCCCGAGTCCATGTAGACCTCGCTGGCCCCTTCTTCGGTCAGACCTTTATCATAGCGGTAGATGTGTTTTCCAAATGGGTCGAACTTGCCCTCTTGTCCTCCTCCACCACGGAGGCCGTAGTCAGGGTACTAGAGGGTTGGTTCACCTCTCATGGACTCCCCGACGTCCTGGTGACCGATAACGGACCACAGTTTACATCGGCATCCTTCCAGTTGTTCCTAGCCCGATTGGGCATCCGTCACGCTCAAACTGCCCCGTTTAATCCGGCCGCTAATGGATTGGCGGAGAGGGCCGTCCGATCCGCTAAAGAGGTGCTTCGCCGCTTTGGCCCATCAAATTGGCAGCATAACATCAACCGGTATCTTTTAGCTCAACATACCACCCCTTGCGCTGTCACCAAACACAGCCCTGCCGAACTACTCATGGGACGGCGCCTCCGGATCACTCTTGATAGGCTGCATCCTGACTACATAACTGACCCTCACTACGAATCCAGTGCGCACGCCAGGGCTTTCCTGGTCGGGGATCCGGTCTATGCCCAGAGTTTTGGGTCAGATGTAAAATGGGTTCCCGGGCATGTCACTCATCTAACAGGACCCTATTCCTATAGGATCCTACTCAACGATGGACGCACGTGGAGGCGACATATAAATCAGCTCCGGTACAGGGCCGCCCGTCCGTTGGACCAGACCCCACCAGTTACTGACGGCGCACCACCCACTGACGGGCCCGCACCATGGCTAGTTGCACCAAGTCTCGTTCCAACCGAATCGTTCTCGTCGGCTGACTTACCTGAGGTTCCTGGCAGGGATTCACCTTCGAAACCATCATCGGCGAACACAGCGCAACCGCCGGCGATTCCGCTTCCAGTTGAAGTGACTCCGCCTTCCGCAGGTCCATCTCCACCCCAGACTCCTTCTGTTCCGCTATTACGTAGGTCTGGGCGGAGCCGACACCGACCAGCGTATTTGAATGACTACGCATGCGCCATCCGGATGGAGAGGGGTGTTGAGTCCTCGCGGCCACATCATCAAGTCAGCGGGGTTGTTGCTAGTCCACGCGGATTGGCTAAGACGCGAGCAAGGAACTAGCGGGAGATTCCTGCTCGCGTATTGGTTAACCCCGTTCCTCAGGTTCCTTTTTAAGCAGCTATCAGTTCGCCTTCACCTGAGTTGTTATTGTTGTTGAGTTCTCTTCGTTGTTCAATAAAAGTTGGTGTTACTGCAGCCGAGCCTCTGATCATTATTAATCCTTCTGAGAATTCAATACATTCTAGGCATTGACCACTCTGTTACTGAAGTCGTATTTTCTGCAATCAAGTTTGGAGCGGTTTACCTTAAGTTTGCATCTATTGTGTGCTCATGTATTGTTGTGATTGAAGCTGAAGTAGTCATTGACAGGTAGGACATTATAGCAGATAATTTTATGTACTATACTTAGGTCGGACCGAAGGCGGCGAAGTTCTAAGTTGTCCAAGCCCAAAATTTCAAGTCTGGTAGCATAAGGTATTCTGTTTGCGAGCAGAGGAATGGAGGACTCTTCTCGTGAAATATCTCTGGACTCGTTCAATTGTATTAATGTCCGATATGCAGTGCGGGTTCCAGACAGATGAGCTGTATTTAAGAATTGGTCTAGCAAAAGTTTTGTATGCCCTAGTTTGCAGTACAATATTACCGGAGAAGAAGCTATGCAAGATTAGGTTATAACTCTTAATGTCTTTTTGCAACGCTGTTACAGTGAGCTCTGGCACTTAGATCATTAGAGATGAGTACTCCAAGGTCTTTGACAGAGTGAGGGTTGTCTATGAGGTCTTTGGTGTCCACTCAGCTTGAATTTTATAGTCTGATTTTTTTTTTGCCAATGTGTAGTATAGCACAGTTCTTTTCTCAATGTTTTATTACAGAAGAATGTTTTTTAAAATTTTATTTATAGAACCAAACTAATATACACTAAAACATATAGCAATTAAAAAGCATGATTAAAAATAACATAAAACCAAGTCAGTCAATACTGCGAGGGAGGTCCAGTCAGTTTCTTTAGGTTAATGCTACAGATAAAAGTATTATCACCACCTTTTGCACATTTAAAAATTGGTTATTTTAAAGAAAAACAGTATTCTCCTACTCATGAGGGAAACTAACATTTCTAATAATTGAGGTATTGATTTTGATTACTAATATGAATATAGTAGACATATTTACAAGATACATTAAATATTTATGTTTGAACATATACTGGTGCAATATTCACCTAGGAGTGTGATATGTTTCTGGTGGTCACCCTGATGGATAATACATCAACATAGACATTTAGAGACAAAAGCTTTATATACAAAGCATGCATGTTCTTGAAAAAATAGGAAGGGTCCAGAGACTGGGAAGAGTCTTAAAATAAAGATGGGAAATTTTAGCTATATCCTCCTGAATGTCCCAGACCTTCTGCCTAAAGTCAATAATTCACAATATGTTAGAATTTGATCAATTTGTTTTTGCAGAGTGGATTTACATTTATATTTCACAGTAAGATGAACCAAAGAGGTCCCCCAAAGGATTTGCTGTGCCCAAGATCATAGACATCATAATTGTGTATGAGTCTTCAAAGAGATGCAGCCTAATTCTAATCACATTAGGACATTTAAGTCAAAGGAGGGATGAGGAGCATGGTTTTCAGAAATTTAGTGTGGAATTCATGGTTGAGATTTTCTTGTAGATGCACAACTGTGTACTTTTCTTAATATTTTTATTAAAATTATAATAAAATAAAGACTAATATAAATTAAAAGAAAAAAGGAAAAATAGCAGAAAAGAAAAAATAGAAAGAAAATTAGAAAAAATATGAAGAAATTACTTCCTTCTTCATCACAATAAGTATAAATAATTTTAGTAATTTATCACTTTCCCTTAAAATGCAACAAATATTTTCTTCCCATAGCCTACATCTTATCTATAAACAAATCCTTAAAGCCTTGTCATTTCAGCCATGATCTCAGCAAAAGTTCATTATTGTTTACCAGAAACAAGAACATATGTATTTTAACCTTGATCAAATAAACCAATTTTATATCCCTTTTATTTTTTAACATTCTTGATCTTTAGTCTCTTAAATTGATATTGTAGAACTTGATTTCATTTCATTTTTTGTTTGTCCCTTCTCATAAAATTCTTCAAAGCTTTAACATACCTCTCTTGTAAATCTAATTTAGGAAAATTAACCAGGTCCCTCTGGGGTTTTTATTTGCATATCTCTTTGAATTATTAAATTATTACTCAGTTTCTTTTTTATGTTTAGTGTAACTTCTTTTTTCATGTCATTCTTGTAACCTGTCATTTTAAAATCCACTTTCAGATTAGTTTTAATTGTATCAGATAAAATTTGTTTCTCTTCTATAAAAGAGAAACATTTTTAAAAACAGTCTATCTATAGAGGTAAACACTCTTAAAATTAACTTCTGGATCCATTGTTCAAAAATATACTTCAGTACATTCACTAGCAATTCTGCTATAGTGTTTGTCTCTGTTTTCTGTGGAACCATTTTCAGTCCACTATTTCTTTCCTGGAAATTCATGTATAATCATACAAAGAACTTTGTCTTTGAATATCTCAATAACAACTAGGAAAAAAGTATTCCCATTTCACCAGCCACATATGTTTCAAGCTTAATTTTGCAGCGATAGAGACTGGAAATATTATTCATTCAAAAGCAAAATACTTATCCAAATAACAGAATTTCAGAATGAAAAACAGTATGATTAAATTGTGAATTCTGTCAATCTTTTATTTTTCTTCAGAGTTCACTGTCATTGCAGAATGTACATGATCAGAGTGGAGAATTTGTTGAGACAACACTTGTGTTTTCTTCATTTCTAAATATGCATTTGAGATCAGTGGCCATATAAATTGAAAAAAATATTTACTGAAGAATATTTGAGGTTAAATTCATGCAATATGGAACTGACTGCTCTGGAAGTTTGCATCTAAACTAAATAAGCACCACAGAGGAAGTAGCAGTGCCTCTTTTATTGGGTGAGATTTGTTGCCCATTATAAGTAGAATGAGATATATCATAGAGAGAAAGAGACTATTAAAAACAAAGTGTATGGGAGGAAAGAGGACATCCCAAGCTTTCAACGGGCATAGCAAAGCTGACAATCTTGGTATCCAGTTATCTTACCCAATAGGACTACTCTGCTCAGACATGTGTATAAATATTGGATACCTGATAAATTGAGCTTCAAGCTTAGGTCTGAACTGCTTTCTGCTGTGTTCAGTACATCATCTGGAAACTGAAGAGCATAGCAAGAACTTGCGTTACAAAATGGCTGTAATTTGGAAGGTGAAACACTGTTAAAATACATTTCATGAGACAATACTTTCAAGTCTTACTGAACAATCTATTGCAGTGATGCAGAAGCATGCTTACAGTTTTGGAGGGGAGAAGAATCGAGAGAGAGGGAGGAATGAACTGTATGGTGCGGAACATCTAATTGTTTTAATCATGCTTGATACTACAGTGTGAAATTGTAATTAACTTAAGAAGTCAGTCAAGAACAATTAATAACTGCAGTGCTACTGGAATAATTTAAATAGGAGCTGGGAGGACAGAAAAGTGACCGACACACCAGGCTGCCAGGGAAGTGGGATGGTTAACAGAACTGAGCTTTGGGAAGGTTAAAAATGACTTTCACTTCAGACTCTTCAGACTGAACATGTGCTTTTAGACAAAGATTGTTTGGGTTCTTTTTCTAGCACAGTCTGCTAGAATATGTAGAGCAGGCAGGCTGAACTGATAAAGAACCGAAGTTGTACATGAAGTAAAGCCATTATCTAAAAAGAAATGCTAAACTTGTTTCTGTTTCGTGGACTTTTTTGGGGGGAAGCAATAATTTGTATGAAAAAGGACACTTTCATACTGTTGCCCTCCCCAGTGAATCCAAGGTATTTTATTTGTTTTGCATATGCATTCTTGTTAAGAGCTATGAAAAGGGCATGCTTGCCTAGTTTTGCAGTCAGGCACTTTTATACTTTTGGCAACTGTGAATGTAGGTTGCAGTACAGAATCTCTGAGTGTGATTGGATGGAGGCAGAAAATGCTTTACTTGAGCCCAGGGACTTTGAGCTCAGAGTGAGGCAACAGTATAAACAGGGTTTGTGAGGCACTGCAAATTATCTAGAAAGATTAACACTGGGTTCTACTTGCTGAAGATCTCTTGAGTGCAGATGACAGATTGAGGAAGCAATTCTTATTAATGATCAACTGGTGTTTTGAATATACTCTATTCAATGACATTATTTTGGAGACCATTGGATGCAGGAAAAGTGTGATATTTGACCCAAACTCCATTATAACCAAACATCAGTGCAGTCACAGCTTTTCTGCAAGATCTTCAAACAATATAAGGCAAACTGACATTTATCACTAAATGCTCACTTGTGAGCTTCTTTGATTAGAAAACTTCCCAGGTGCACTTTCAACCTTACTTTTTAATACCAGAATTTAATGTTACTCTAGCTCTCTAAGTGAGCTCTTCTAATGTCTTTACAACACAAGATGTAGATAAAAGCATATGGACAAAAAGGTAAAAGTAAATAATCAAATGCTATATCTCCTTCCCACCCATTATGCTGTCTATCTATTATTCAGGAGAGCTACTCGGACAGTAGTCCTGCAATAAATCCCATTAAAAACAGTAGGACTAATTTCTAGGTATACAAATGTACATTTCTGGCTACAACATAGATTTTACACACACACACACACAACTACACACACCAATAACACAAAAACTAGTGCCATAATTTACAGTAGATACTTTTCCATAAAACATTTGAAGGAATAATGTAACAAAAAAACAACAACTGATTAGGTTGACTGGATTAAGATACCAGTTAATAATTTATACAGGTTGTTTTCCTCGGTTCCCAGTGACTGATTTATTTTGGTTGTTACTTGTTTTGGAATATTGAGTAATATCTGATGAATAGCTTAACATTTATAGTATATAACCCTTACCCCAAGCATTATACATATATTATGGCATTATTATTTTTTTATCTCTAGTTTGATGTTCTTTAATTCATGACCTTGAAATTTGGACTGCTGCCTGCTTGAGGTATACTTATCTCACTATTGTCTACTTTCTATTTGGCTGTTTGCCAAAAAAAGAACAGACACATCAGCTGGTATCTTTTATTATAGTTTTTTGATCTGTAGATGTTAAGCACTGGT